TCTTGACCCGGCCGAAGGCTAGGGGCCGGCGTCGAAACTGCAATTCGTATCCCTGGGTTAGGGTGGAAACCACCCAAGGGTCGGTAGTACAGGCAGCCCAGTAGCTGAGCTGCTGCTGGGAAAAGCAGCCGACGACCGGCCCAGGGACTTCAGGGCCTAGCCCCCCGACCCCTTGGGGGGCGGCGGTAAGGCTGTGGGGCCCGGGGCTGCCTAGAGGGCTGGCGACCGGGGGCACGAAAGTCATTAGGAGGCGGTTGAGTAGACCGCTGGGACCTCCGCAGACCACCACTGAAAGCCAGTGGCAGAGTGCGGCTGCTAGAGGGGCCCCTGGGCCTGCTGGGAGTAGGCACAGGCCTACGTAGACCCGAGAGCTGCTGCCTGGTCTGTCTAGCTTGGGCAGCACGCTCTAGTGCCGCCAGGGCAGCTGCTCCAAACAGCTCCCCTGGTTCGACCGGCACGCCGCGGAGGACACTCCTACATGTCTCCGTTAGTGGTGACTGAGCCAGCCAAACCTGGCGTCGAGTCTGCACCAGTAGGGACATAACTCGTCCCAATTCCCTAGTCATTAGGGCAAAGGCCTGCAGTGAAGCGTCACTGAGGCCCAGCAAAGAAGGCTCAGCCGGAGCCTGCTGCAGAGAGGCGGAGGCGGCCAGCATTAGATGGGAGAGAGAGTTCCCGATACGACCCATGCGTGCCGCTGCATCGTAGGCCTTACAGAGCAGTTCGTCAGTGACCCTGCACTGAGGCAGAGGGCACCTGGCGTCAGGCCTTAGGGCCTCATCAGGAGCCAGAATCAGGGAGGCGATGGCAGGCTCGATGGGTGGCATGCGACCCAGCCCCACCCTCGCCGGATCCTGCATGGCAGCCAGGGTCCGGCTATCAGAGCTGAAGCGGGAGAGGGCCTTAGTGTCTCTCCAGCATGCATGGAGCTCCCTCAGGTACTCCTCCGAAGGAGGAACAGTGAGGGGGACAGGGGTAGGGCTACGCCTGAAGAAGGCGCTAGCCTGAGCCGCGTCGGCCTGCGGAACAGGAAGCTGCAAGTGTGCCAGGGCCGCACGAATAATGGCCGCCATGGAGGTGTCCTCCACGCCCTGCAGAGAGCCCTGAGCAGAGGAGTGGGAAGCCTCCCCGGAAGTGAGCGGGGCCTCGTCCTCCACCTCTTCGTTGAAGAGGTTAGCCGAGGCCGCTAGAGACATGGCATCCTCATGCAGAGGTGCGGCAACCGAAGGAGGGGCAGGCGGCAAGCCAGCAGCCCCTATACCGGCCCCTGGTTGAAGGGCTAAGAGGAGCGACTTCATCATGTCCATGTCGGCGGCTAACCGATCCACCTTAGAGGACAGCCTGTTAGGGGGCGAACCCGTAGCCATCGCTCCCTCGGGTCGCCGGGAACGGCCAAACTGACCTAGGGGAAGATGCGACAAGGAGAGGTGTCCGTTGGCTTCTGCCAGACGCTCCACCTCTGCGACTCTGGCCGCTCTAAGCGCCCAAGGCATGCAGCTACAGTTCATGCAGGCGTCCTGCGTGAGACCCTCCCTCAAATGCTCGAGACCAAGGCAAGAGGGGCAGCGGTCGTGGCCATCCTCGGGCTCGAGAGAAGCCATACAGGCGCTACATGGATGAGCCATCATGTAGGTAGCCGGATGCAGCGTAACCGGGAGCGGGGTGCGAGAACACAGCCTTCACCAGTTACCTGCTGAACGGAAGGAGTAGAGCCCTGCTCCTACTCGCCGAACACGAGAGGGGTGTAATGGGGTACACCCGCGTTACTTAGCAGAGGGAGCGGGGAGCGAGAGCACTGCCTTCACCTAGCTAAGTAAATGAAAGTGCAAAGCTACTAGCAGAGGGAGCGGGGAGCGAGAGCACTGCCTTCACCTAGCTGAGTAAACGAAGCACGGAGCTACCAGCAGAGGGAGCGGGGAGCGAGAGCACTGCCTTCACCTAGCTGAGTAAACGAAAGCGCGAAGCTACTAGCAGAGGGAGCGGGGAGCGGGGAGCGAGGAGCGAGAGCACTGCCTTCACCTAGCTAAGTAAACGAAGCACAGAGCTACCAAATAAGGAAGCTTAACAGGGCAGCTAGCCAGCCGGCTGCTGCTCACAGTCAAGGAACACTCTTACCAGGAGCGGGGGTGAAAACACTGCCTTCACTGGTTGAGTAAAATAGCGAAACAAGCTAAGGAAACTGCTTCTAAAGGAAAAACCAGCACGGGTAATCCGGTGCTTACCTCAAGCGTCAGCCAAAGTGGCTGACCAGGCAGGACACAGTTAGGCTGAGCCGCGCTACTGCTAACTAGCTAAACAAGAGGACACAACACAAGCTGGAACTCAGGATGCTAATGATAGCTTGGCGCAACGCCGCGCTATCAGAAAAGTACAGAGAACGCAACAAGGGCAACTCCTGGGAGAGGGGGCGGAAACGCTACCGTCACCAGAAAGTTCAAGCCAGGTAGCAACCAAGACAGAAATCAGGACAACCTAGCTGGGAGAGGGAGTGGAAACACTGCCGTCACCGACCAAGCCGACACCAACCTGTCCGTTGAAGTTTTTTGCGCAGCCGGCCGCAGCTCCTGGAGGACGGGTAATCCCGCGGCTCCGACTGGATCAGTCGCGAAGCTACACGCAGCCAGCTGGATGCAGAGAAATCCTTAAATCCAAACGTTCCAACTGAACGCTGTAGGCTACAATAGTGTAGCCACGGTACTCTCGCGCAGCGAGAAGATGAAAGGAACAGATCCTCTGATGACACGGGCTGATATAGCCGGTGTCACGTGGGTCACAGGTGACTTTGTTGATATTGGTACTCGTACTGCGCATGCGCACGATGGACATATCCAGTGCTAAAAGCACCGCCTCTGGCGGTCAGTAGGGACGAAATAGAACTGCTGTTGGGCGTGAGTCCAAAAGCCCAATTAGGTTCACACAGCTGGAGAACGGCCTACATGTGTTTTTATGTGTGGCATTTTAATTGAGACTCACTTTGTTGCTTCTCCAAAGCCAAAAGTGTCTTTTAAGGCAGCAAGACGTGAACAGTTCAGCGTGTGCACTAAAAAGCTCTCGTCACAACCACTACTCCCATATCAATGGGGAAGCCTTTTGCTTCTAGGAAAAACAAAAGCCCGTTGCCCATTTCAAGTAATGAATAATTAAAGTCGTACAAGGGCCCTCAAAAAGCATTAGGCTGCACAATTTAGCAAGCCAGCATGGAATTAATTGTGGCGTTCGTAGCCAGCTGCGTGATTGCTTTTGAAGGAGCTGTCAAACACTGTTATTGTCTCCTCACAAAACGCTCTGATACTTTTTTCAAGCGGTTATATTCTGGTCATCAACTAAAAACATTAAAACAACAGCACAGTATGTCAGGAACATCACTTTATTCAGCACTTAACTCAACTTAGCTGGAGCCTTACCACACACATAGTCCTATACTTTTAATGAGCGCATGTGCATGGCAAAGCTAATAAGCAATGACAGGTTTCAGCAGCAAAAAGCTACAACTTGCTGTCATTTGATGAATTGTAATGAATGCAACATGACAGAAGGTAAAAGACCTCTCACATTGCCTACTAGTTTTTGTAATTGTAGTTCATGTAATGCTAATATTTGCCTTTTGGGTAGCCATGTTTCCACATCCTGGTTAGGAGTAATTAGAGCATGTTAAAGTTAACAGGGAGTGCAACTCTACAATCAACACATTTTCTGCTCGTTAGCTACAGCGACCATTTCTGACTGGTGTGAAATTAACAAGCTAGGTTGTTTTATTTATATATATATAAATGTTTTAATAGATGTTTAATAGCAGATTTATAGCAATATTTTAACTTGAGCTATCACGGCTTTAGTGCAGCGGTGTTCTAAAACAACATTTTTTATTTTCAAAGCTGTCAAGAAGCCATCTTTAAAAGTTTCAATATCAGTTTCACTCAGCTGCAGCTTTCAGTAGTTGACCAAGTTTCTATTTCAATTTTTGAAGAAAGCTTTGTTTTTTTACATGCCCAAACTGTGAACTGTGAATGGAGAACACAAAAACTGCAAACAACCGAGTGAAAAAAAGGAAACTATGTATCACATGCATCTTTAATAAAACTTCACTATTTATTACTCTTACGCCACTACCACACTGGTGCGCTGTGGGTCTGTGTATGAGACCAGATTTACTAATGGGCGTTTAAAGGTTAAACTACTCATTTAAGCGCGACCACATCACCCCTATTCTGGCCTCATTACACTGGCTTCCAGTTCGGTTCAGAATTGATTTTAAAGTCCTTTTATTTGTTTTTAAAGCCCTAAATGGGCTGGCTCCGGCCTATATAGCTGAACTGGCGCTACACCCCAGCCAGAGCTTTAAGGTCTGCTGACCAGCTGCTGCTGGTAGTGCCCAAGACCAGGCTAAAAACCAGAGGGCAACGAGCCTTCGCAGCAGCTGGCCCTAGGCTCTGGAACACTTTGCCCCTCCATGTGAGGTCGGCCCAGACCCTAGGGGTTTTTAAATCCACATTAAAAACACACTTCTTCTCTCTGGCTTTCTAATTAGAGCGGAGCATGACTCCTGACTTTTCCGTGTGTTTTATTCTTATTTTGTTTTTTAAGTTATATCTGTTGTAATTTATTGTCGTTTATTGTGTTTTGTAGTAATGTGTTTTTTATTACATGTACAGCACTTTGGCTCGACCAAAAATCGCTTTTAAATGTGCTTTATAAATAAAACCTGATTTGATTTGATTTGATTAAGATGTTAAGCATTCACAATTTGAGTGCATGCAGGTTCTTTTAAAAGAGATGGTCCTAAAAGGGAGTTAAATATTGGTGCCGTATTCACAACTTTGTTACATTCATCAGTTTATGGATTAAAGTAATAGTCATGTTGTAAAAAAAGCAGTACAGAAAGCTCCTGCTCACAACATATAGAGAGCAACATATTGATTTATCACTTTAACTGTTGTCCAGAGTTTGAAATGTGTGACATGTTACTGTGCCCTAAACCTTTCCTTTTTGTGTGTTACCAGTCCAGACCAGGCCAGACTCTGTGAATTGGAGGACCAGTCCAGGGCTTCTAAGAAGGGCTTGTGGAGCGAGGGCGGCGGCATTCAATCTGTTCGCGACCTCAAATACACCATAGAGAATCCCCGCAACTTTGTTGACTCCTTGCACCAGAAACCTATCAACGGTAATGAGTTTGGGAGGGGCGTGCAAACATACACAACGGATGAGAAAGCTTGGCCTAGAAAACAAAGACACTTATCATTTGAAAGCACGTAATACTACATAAGCCTCTATTTTCCCATAAAAGGCCACATTTACAGGCTTTGTTGGCCATTTTGGTTGAAGAAATCCCGTTCTAAATATCCACTTCAGGGTAATGGAACACACTATATAACCATCACTGGCTCATTCCTCCAGTCTCTCATCTCCGACCCTAACCTGAGCTGTAATGTGCCCCTCAATTCATTTCCAGGCTACTGCCGTTAACAGTGGCGCAGCTCATTTTACTACCATTTCATTGAACGGTGGAATGAACAGGGAGACGTTTTTTCCTTCTTTTATTTCTCGTTCTTACCATTCATGAGACGATCAGAGTTGTTTTGAAATTGGAAGCAGCAATCCAGCCCAAGAGCTTTAAATGTGTGTTGAGTTGCTGTGGTTGAGAAACAGAATACCAATGTCCCTCTCATCTGCTTATGCAGACACACGCTCAGACACATGCACACAAGCTATACACGGGAAGAAAAGCATATAGAGGCTGAGAGAACCCATCATCAAAATGCCATTTAGGCATGAATTGCCTTTAATACAAGTGACTCATCCTGTCCAATTTCTTTAAGTACTTTAGAGGTCAGGAGCAACAGATGGGCGATATATGGTTTTGAAGAAATAAACAACGTTATACCTCCAAAAGCTTTTCATATATATTGACCTTGCCTCAAGCCTTGATATGCTGCATAGTAAAATCTTTAAAGTGATAATCCAAAAATGCTTTAGTATCAAGCACTCACCTCTGTAGGCTTGAAAGGTGTCTGTAAAAAACAACACCAGAGATATGGTGACTCCTTCTTCCAATAGAGCAATGACTCTAATCAGCCAAAGTTCATGCTTGTTTTTAATAGGAACAAATCGTTATTATTACAAACCGACAGCAGTCATATGAACATTTTTAAGTTCAGCCTTTTTATACCCTGAGGAAGGAAGTGGCAAACCACCATTTTTCCTAAATAAATGAGTATTTCATAAAGATTTTGGTTGTCACTTTCAAGGTGTACAAAGTCTGACAACTCAATTTGACTGATGAGTAGCAAACAGTTTTCACAGGTGTTAGTTTGAAATTCACCGGAGAGTACATGCTATGACAATCTACCAAGCATAGAAGAAGATTCAAATAAATTCAGATTTCCATTTATTGGTCTGACCCGTAAAAATGAAATAAAATGAATTGCCTCGGGTAAAGTTTCCCGAAAGTATGAGATATAAAGTGTTTTTCTGAATCTTCCAGTTTTCACATAGCGTTTCCCAAGTATAAAAGATTAATTTAAGTATATGCTCTGACCAGCCCACAAATAAGCAATTGATTAAAATTGGACACATCGTACTCTCCCTCTAACGCTGTGACATTCTCATCTCTCCCTTCAGCCATCATCGAGCATGTGCGTGACGGCAGCGTTGTTCGCGCCTTGCTGCTCCCCGACTACTACCTGGTCACCGTCATGCTGTCTGGAGTTAAGGTAACCAGCACTCACCTGCAGAAACTACACTCGGGGAAAATGTAAACTAATGTTTGTCCTGAGACTACAGTTACCATAAATAGATAGATGGATAGATACTTTATTCCTAAAAAATCATTTTGTCACGGCAGCAGTGTTGTCAAACATTACACATGAGTGAAAAATAATGAAAAGATATTGTAACATTAACAGCAAATATATACAAAATTACAATAGAAAAGACATACTGTATATCACTAGAATATCTAAGAAATACACAATTGAAAGAAAATACTGAATACATTTGAATAACCTACAATATTCAATTTCACTAGGCAACAGAAATGTATAGAAGTAATAGAAATAGTGAGAAAATGAATAAATAAATACATAAATGGTTTATCATATGTAGATTCTTCCACACCACTTTCACTTTACTGTCACAAAATATAAAACTCAACTATTTAAAGGTGTGTATAAATACATATGCTAATAAAAAATACATGTATTTATACAATAATGGCTCATTTGTGCCCAGCTTTTTAATCTGTGTTTGTGCTACTAGTGTCTTATGCACTAAATATCACCATCAAACTCTTTCACCAAGCCCAGATAACTCATCTTTTCTCATCTCCCACTTAAATACATTTCATCCATTTCAAGATGTTCTTTGTCCGTGTTTCAAAGGCTTGTCTGCGTCTGTTGTGTTTATATCTGTCTGCTGTTCTGCCACACTGAAAGGACAATACAGATAGCAAGTAGCGCAAGGTGACATCGGTTGAAAGTGGATAACGGTACTTCACAGAAAAAACTGATGGTATCAAAAGAACGTTTGCACAGAGAAATCTCCTAGAGGCGCTGGTTGACTGCTGGGAAATTCAGTAGAGTACTAAATCAAGGATGTATTTTAACACTGCTTTCAAAAGATCTATTGACAAAGGCATGATCATTCCTGCATTCATTTGCGTTTTCCTTCTCCCCAGTGTCCCACAATCAAGCGGGAAGCGGATGGTACGGAGTTTCCAGAGTCATTTGCAGCAGAAGCCAAATTCTTCACCGAATCCCGACTTCTGCAGAGAGACGTTCAGATCATCCTGGAGAGCTGCCCCAACCAGATCATACTGGGCACCATTATGCATCCGGTAAGACTCTGGAGGCAACGCACGTTTGTGGGAGTGGCCGTTCAAATGAAGGCTTTTCTGTCTCATTAATTACTGTTTTTCCCCCCGCTGTGTCAGAATGGAAACATTACAGAACTCCTACTGAACGAAGGGTTCGCCCGCTGTGTGGACTGGTCCATGGCCGTCTACACCCAGGGAGCCGATAAACTACGTTCTGCTGAAAAGTACGACACTTTAGGCGTACACAAGAAAATAGTTCATATCATTATTAAATACAGACGTTGCTTAGAAAGGTGTAGAAACTAATGCAATGACACATCTGGTTCAGGAGATCACTGTTTTATAAGACATAATAAATAAATAAAGCAGTTTCTTGAGGTATTGAAAATAATTGTGTCAATTAAATGGTATGCAAATATATTCCACCGCTACTTCAGATCTCCCTCTATTGCTCTACTGCATTGATATGCACCCCCTATAATCATCACTGTAAGGACTATAGGCTAATCATCTCAGGATGCTCTTTAATGAGCCTTTGTAGCTTTTTCCAGCCAAATGGATAATTGTTATTCGCTCGATTAAGCCCTTCATGTCCTATGTATTTCTGGCTGATCTTGAGGACGACCACTGATGATGATTATGTGTTTTTTTTTGTTCTTTGCCAGATCTGCTAAAGAGCGCAAGGTCCGCATCTGGAAGGACTACGTGGCACCCACAGCCAACATGGACCAGAAGGACAGGCAGTTTGTCGCCAAGGTGAGGTCCTCATGTGGCTTTTATATAGGCTGTGTCCCTTGGCACTTTTCCTTTGGCCCCTAACATAATGTCTTTCCAATTTGGATCATTTTCCCTCCATTGAAAGTCCTAACATATCTTTGAAATTCAGGGAAAAATAAGTGGTAAGGTATAAAACCCACATTTTCATATCTAAGAAGCTGGAAATGTGAAATATCTTGGAACTAAATCTTCCTCTTCTTCTAAAGTTGCTGCCAATTAATTTTCTGTTTACCCACTCATGGTTTTAGTTACTTAAATATAATGTTGGATGGTTTAATCTATACCAAATAATCATAATTCAAAAGTTTTTCCTTAATGTTTTGTGTCAAAATCTAAATGTGTAAAGTAACTAGTAAATAAATACGTAAAATAAATGTATTGGAGTAAAAGTAGTGATAAATGAAATTACTCGGGTGGCGTACAAGTACCTTAATGTGTGCTTAAGTGACGAGACATTGGGTGTTTCTCAATCGCGAGTAAAGCTGCTTCAGAGCCACTATTTCAAGCATACTACGTCATCGAGTGCCGCCGAAGTACTGTTCCAATCTCCAGCATACTTGGAAATCTACCGAGCCCGGCGTACTCCGTTTGGAGAAATATCGAGGCTGCACATGAGAAGACTCCGCGGTCTTAAAATCCCCACAATGCTTTGCGCACGGACCAATTTCCCCAAATCTGTGACGGAAAATGTAAGGCGGGGCCTCTCATATGACGCACACCTGCACACTTGCTAGCCTGTTCCACTCTTTGTTTTCCGAATGCCAGGAAGTATTCTTGCCTCGCTTCTGAAGCAAGATGCTCGGCAGACATGTGCTACCAAGCAAGCGTACTCGCGATTGAGAAACACCCATTGTCCAGCGTTAGCTTCAGTGCTAAGGCGATGTTTCCTTTGCTTCCATCACTCCATGTTCACTGTCCACTGCAGCATTTCCACTTTTTCTCCCAGCACTGCAGCACAAGCAGAGCCACTTTAAGGCTACTAACAAATAATATCCTCCTGACGCCTCTATTTTCACATCTGGACCCCCCCTTCTGAATAAGACTAAAAAAATTGCTTCACTCGGATGCTAGGAAGAATGCTTAACAGCAACCTTGAAGCACTCCCCAGTCAAATTAGGGCCAAATCGCTGGCGTATGCTGTAGCAGCAGCACAGAACGACCCCCAAAAGCCAAGAAGTGGAGATATTAGCTTTGGAGGTTATTGGCCAGGGCTATGGGGAAGAGAAGTATCCTTAATATCAAGTACACGAGAGGGCACTCCCTCCTAGTTGTCAAGACCCATTAGCTCAAATCAAGTGAGATGGACGGCTTGATACATTTTGGTAATTAAGTTTAAGTGTGAGCTGACGTATTAAAGTGTCCACATTGTAGCTTTGATATAGTATAGCAACCCTTCAAAAACAGCTTTAAATCTGTTTCCCTCTGTGTGCATTTTGATGATGACTTCCACTCCTCCTTTTAGTTGATTTTATTTTTTCCTAGGATTTCAAAAGTTTAATACCTCCTAAAGTTTATCTTTTGTCTGTGTTTGCTCCCTCAAGACCCTGAACTTTTAAGACCCGGAGAAATTCATGGCTAGCCCGAGAGTTACATAAAAGGTGTTGCTTTGGAAATCTGCTTACAGAATACATTTGATAAACTGCACACGCCACAAAGAAGGCGCCAAAAGAAACTGTGCATGTATATTTTTTCCTGAGTCAGAAGCAAGAGGCTAGAGAAAGGATAAAACATTTATAGTATCAGTGTGAGCCGCTCTCAGATCTCTCTAAACCCCCTCAATAAGAGAGGGATGGGTGTGGGCAGTGGTGGGGTGGGGGAGTATTTGGTGCTGAGCTCCGGAGGGTGTATGAGAGAGGCACAGAGTTAGGTAGATGGTTGAAAATGAAATAAAAAATGTGAGTTCTAGTGATATAGGGAGACTTAGAAGGAGAAGGATGAAACGACATGAGAAGTGAAGTCGGCAAATTATCAAGATCCCTGAAACTATGAGCGTCCTCTCCCTCTGCAGTTCCCTTTATTATTTTGCTGCAGAACTGCACTGCCGATGCCTACACCTAAACCTCAAGGCACTTTTTGATCTCTGCAGGATGCTTCTCTGTCCTATTTCTGCTGCTCTCCCCCCAAAATGCTTCAGAGGAGGTGTTGCTGCTGCTGTTTCTTCAGATTATCACCTTTAATAGTAAATGTAGTTTATCTAGCAGCATAAATGTGATCTAAGATTAGGGATAGGACTATATTTGTATAAAAACACTCACAATGGTAATCATAGGATATTTTCATTATCCTGATAATCGAGAGTATCCTCACAAAAGTGACTTAAACAATTATTTTGCTGGCTATCATGATAGAAAAAGTAATATATTTTTTACACAGAAATTAAACGTGAACAGACTTTCACAATGTTAATGTTATTTATTAAGAAAAGTATCCTTTATTTATTCAAGTGGGCCTTATTATTTAAGATTAAGGTACAGTTTGTTTTTCACTTAAAAGGTTTTTCCCTAATTCATAGCATCTGTTCTTTAAAATGTAGGATAAATGGATTGCACTATTTAATACATTTTAAGCATAATTTCTCAATTATCGGGATAGTTTTATACATTTAAATTATTTTGGCCAGACATAATCGTGACATTAATTTAATATATCATCCCATGCCTTTTATAACACGGCTTGAAAACTTTGAATAGAGCATCGTGGCGCCAAACACTTTTAGTTAAAAGTGTCCAGATAACAGTTGTGATGGAACCCGGGGGCTGACCCTGCATCAGCTTGAGCCACTTTAAAGCTAAGAACATATTGGACAGGCTAAGGTTACTCCATACTTGTCCTCATGACATTTGTCGGCACCTAATACTGCAATGCACCGACTCTCCCAGGGACACATCTATCCATCAATCCCATCATCATACACTCCTCTCCTCGTCCACTCTCCTTTTCACTTCTTATTATCTGAGTGATGGATAGAGTGGAGAGGCAGAGCAGGTCCAATCCCCACAAGTCGATCCCGCTGATGCATCCTCCTCTTTGACTGTCTGGTCTCTCTCTCTCTCTCTCTCTCCTCCCACCTCTACCGGGACTGGAGATGTAGGCCATGCCCCAATAGTCTTCCTCTCTTTTCCCTTCCCCTTCCATACCCTCCTCTCCCCTGAGTAGCCATCGACCTGTGAGGTGATGGATAAAAAGTGACGTGGTGTGAACCCCTTCACCAGCCTCTCATCACCGGCTCCTCACGAGCACTGCCACTGTTGCTTTCAGGCCAACCACATCTGTCAGAATATGGATTTAAAAAAAACTAGTGGTGTTTGAGGATTAAATGACAAGTAGCAGTAGTTGGCTTTTTTGGGAAGCAGTTGTCAAATATTGTTCTACCTACTGTATCTACAGTAGGGTCATTTTTGTTGCACAACTTTTAAGACATCACAGGTCAATGTGTTTTTATGCCAAACATCCCAAAAATAACAGGAGCATTTTGAGGGGACTTAATCAAATATGGCAACAACTTGTACTTGGACTCAAAAATGAAGGTCGAGATCACACCTCAAAGGCAAATGATGACAATTCCACATAGATCTCTAACGTGATAAAATGATGTCCTTTTAGAGGAGACACAGATGTAAACTGTAACTTGAGTAGTTGGTGGAGGCATGCAAAATGTACTGATGCTTAAGAGCAACTAGAGGTCTTGTTGGATGGAAAGAAAAGAGTACCCATAAGGGTTAAATAGAAACCAGTGGCATGAGGGCCTCTTGGCTGTTATGTAGTGCATGCCCCAGTTAAAATAAATCAGACAGAATGGTTACAAGGTCAGACGGCTTCTTTGAGAAAAGTCACTTTTTAGAGGAAGATGATGAGAAAAGGGTAAATTGGCCCGTGCCCCAGTTAATCAGTCGAGCCTTAAGGTGAGAAAGTCTCAAGAGATTATTGTCACCTTTCCCGGGAAAATGTCCTCACGACGCACTTTAAGATCAACCCGCACCCAGCTGATCGCTAACACAACCAGTTTATTTGAAACTTAGTGACAAATCATCTCCATTGGCACTGAAACTCTGCCATAGGTGTTGTTGCTTTTGAAGGAGATGATCTGACGGGAGTAATCAGTAAGTCTTGGCCCTGTGGTTAAAACCAACCTAATGGATTCCACTGCCAGTAGCCACGGTCCTCCTTTTTCTCCGTGACTGATCTTGGCCACTGCAGATGTCATGTGAGCCACGGGCAGAGGGTGGCAGCAGATCCCCACCTCTCCGCTATCAGATCACAGCCGTGAGTCACACTGCCTGCTCACTCGACCCCTCATGGCAGCTACTTTGCAAATACTTTTTACGCTATATTTTCCTATCTATCCCCCATCTCTCCGTGCGCCTCTGTTCTCGTGATATTTGCAGAGAGATTACACTCTGGCTCGCTCCATCTTCCCGCTCCCTCCATCTCGGCGTGTTGATCCGTCCTCCCTTCGCCTCTCTCGTCTCGCCTCCTCCGGCTGATAATTAGCCAGTAAATGCTGAGCCATTTTCCTCCTTGTCCTGCCACATTCTCCCCCTCTTGCTCTTTATTTACTCGGGCAAGCCACTAAATGACCTTGTTACAGTGTGAATTTGTGTAGGCTGGTGTGGATGTGTGCTCCCCCCCACTCATGCACCTCTCCCCCCTCTCTCTGTCTCCCTCCTGCTCCCTATGTCTCCACGTCCCTCCCACTCAGCTCAGTGATTAGTATATGATGTATTTTGGCTGCTGTGGTGGGCAGCCTATTTAGCATGTGGGCTGGTCTAATTTCTGTTCCGTGGTGGTGAATTCAATGGCAGTCAGAATTAGTTTTCATAGAACAATGAATCTCCCAGAGTGTAATACACTTAGATTTGTGTCTGCCATATCACAATCTGAGACTCTGAAAGAGGATTTTCAATTGTTTTGTTTTTCTACCACACAAATGCCCACGCGGTCCAATTCCTGCTCCAAACCCGGCTCAGACCTGCATCGCTCTCTTGAAGGACTTCAGCTGGAGCACAGCCTACATATGAACCAGTGTTTGAGTGATGACGAGGCCATTTAATGCACATGTGGGTGGCAACATGTGTAGGGCGATTGATTTCTCCGTCTCTTGCAAGCGGCCTACTTAAAGGCTCTGGGTCTGGATGCCTCCTCCATCTCGGTCACATTATAGCCCCAATCTGTCTTTCTCCTGGGACTGGCTCTGGCACATAGAACCGCGCATGCATAGATTGGGTTACACATGTGTGGCGACTTTCTTCATTTGGAACCAACACCATAGTAATCAAATCAAACTTTATTAATATTGCACTTTTCATACACAAAGGTAACTCAAAGTGCTTCATGAACAAACACATACACAATTTACAAAAAGTCAAAACAATACTTTTTCCCTTCCCAGGTATAGCCAGAGTAACACATAGCTTTGTGATTAAAAAGAATACTTCATACCAACTGAATAAAACAGGAATAAAACAAATGAATGCATACATTCAAATACAATACAATTCAGTTAAAAGCCCATATAAATAGTTTAGTAGTTCAAATAGTAATACACTTTGAGCTAACAGGAGTAACTTTGAATATCCTTGTTCTTCTTCTTGCTATAAATTGTGGTTGCTTGAGAAATCGCATTTAAATGCCAAACCTAAAGGAGTCTGTGTCTTTGCAGTTACACTAGTAAAGGTCTCCAGAACCAAATGCTGCCAGCCAGTTGTTGTGCAGAGGGCTGTGTGACGCTCCAGCGCTCTGTCTTTAACAGGATGTTTGTGTTTCTAAAGCTGTTTCTCGTGCACTCCCCCTCCCCCCTCCCTCCCGGTGCCAATCCCCCGGATAGCCGAACGTCCTCGCGCTGTCCTCCAGACCTCGCCGGCCTTCTGGGATGACTTAGCCCGCTTACTCACTCAGTCACTCAAGGATCACTCTCTCTTACCTCTCTTTCAGTGGCTCCCGCTCGTGACAGCGCACGATCTGCACTGTCACTCCGCTTCCGCCTTTTTGAATAGATCTCTTCCTCTCCATTTATCCTTTACCTGCTCCTTCACTTCCCATCTTTCTTTCAGTCTATCTGCTCACTCACTCACTCAAAATGCAATGCCAGTCTCTTTCCTCCAAAGCCCTGCATCTGTTTTAGTTTTCTCCTGAGGGATTAACATGTGTTTTGGACCCTTACATGAATTCTTAAGGTGCCCTGCCATTTTGTCCCTTCTGTATTTATATAACTAAATTGCTCTCTTCATCTGTCCCTATAGGTGATGCAGGTGCTCAACGCTGATGCCATGGTGGTGAAGCTCAACTCTGGAGAACTCAAGACCATCCACCTGTCCAGCATTCGGCCCCCCAGAATTGAGGGAGAGGTACAAAAACACTTGTCTGTCAGTCTGCCTGTTTCTATGAGTGTGTGAGTGGCTACTTTAGTGTAATGCATGTGTTCATATGTGTGAAAGTGTGGGGTCAACCACTTCATCAGAAGCTCACAGAGACCACTCAAGCCCCTGATGTCTTGACAGAGTTGGTTTATTTTCATTTAAAGTCAAACACAAGCTGTTTACATATCTCTTAATATGTATTCATCTCTTTCCCTCACACATTAGTCTCGTCTCCCCCTAAATGACCGTGGGAATCATTTTGACCACTTGGTGGCGCCCCTCTGTTGGGCCACATGCAAACACAGTGAGACACTTGCACACACCCAGTGGTTGCAGCACTGCAGAGAGCGAGGCACATTGATTTTTTTTTTCTTCCTTTCCCCTCCACACTCCCATCATTTTTCTCAGAAGCACTTCAAGACGGTGAAAACATTCACATGCTTACATACACAGTGGAGATGTATATTAATCCACATACTTTTGCACTCACTTATGTAAAACTGCTTGTATGTAATAACATTTAGACACAGAAGTCTACTCCCCAGCTCTGATTATGTTCCCATTCTTCCAAAAACACCATGTATTCAATTTTGAAAAACATGTTTCTCGCTGATTGCTAAGAAGAAAAATGGTTAATTATTCTTAGAATTAGGCCTTACTGGTATTGAAAGGCCTTAAGTAATAATTTAACTGTCTTGATAATTCTAGGACATGAAAGTAGCTTTATACAAATCATTTTTTTGTGACATTTCATTCTGGGAACTCAATCATTTAGTCTATTTTGATAAAACAATGATTTACTAAAAGCCTCTATCATTAACGTCTTGCTGATCGTGATAGCGGACTCGTAAAATTGGTCTTAAATTGCTTTGGTGTGGCATTTAGAAAGTCTTAAATTTCCCTTGCCTTTAGCTGTAGGAACTTTGAAAAAGAGAAGTAATCAATTTTCATTTCTCAATTACCCTTGGTGTCTGAGTCCTCTCAAATGCTATAATTTTCTAAATAACAGACTCAAAATGTCTTCAAATGTCATTCCCATCAATTAGAAAGTTCAAAACAGTAGTGATTGTTCTTTTTGTCAAAGAGCTCGACTAAAAACCTCTTCTCTCTTTGTTTAACACGTCTGTCTGACACCATTCCTCCAGTCAAGTGTTTACTCTAATACCCTTTTAAGAGCAAGTCTTGCATTTCCTCGCTCAAAGAGGTTGTTGTGCTTCTGTGTAGGAAACAGCTGTAAAAGTCCAAATACGGAATGTCAACAGCACTTCTGTTTTGATTGCTTTCGTTTTTATTGACTCCCTTCCCGCATGTCTCTTCATTTGATGGTGTACTCTTTGCTATCTTTTTCCTCTTTACTGTTTTCTAGTTTTTTTATACTCTAACCTCTCCCTCCCTCTCTCCCCTGGTGTCGTTAGGGCCTCGCATCATTAAGAGACTGCTTTGTATCTCTCCCTCCCTCCTGCCTCCCTTTTCCCTCCACAGTCACTTCCTCCTGCTGTCCCCCCCCCCCCCCCCCCCCCCCCCCTCTGGGTGTACAGTACAAGCCGTGGTCAGATTGTTGACCTGCACCGCTGCCCTTCGTGTGTGTTTTATTCTCCTTAGCTCTCTGCGGTTGTAACAAGCTTGTGGGCAAAAACATCTCCCTCCACTTTGTTTCTCTGCCCTTTTTCCTGTTCCTCGTATTTCATAGCTTTTCCCTTCCTACTCTTTCCTTAGATTCCCTTTTTTTTTTCTTCCATACTGCTTTCTGTATTCCCACTCTTGTGTTTGTCCCTCTCCTCATATTATTCCATCTGTCTGTCTCTCAGTGCCCGTCTGTTTTCTGTCTGTCGCCCTGCACCAGATGCTTCAGCAGTATGTGTTGTGTGCTTCATTACACTGGTGTATGTTACAGGGAGCCCGGGAGAGGGAGCCCAGATGTGAATGTTTGTGTCTATCGGAATTGGTGTTATATTGGCTCAGTGTTGTATCGCTATTTCTTGCTCTTCATGCATATTTAATTGCTCTTGTTTGGATGTGTGTGGGACTTTCATGTAAATAACCTGAATATTTATCAAAATGAGTCTGAGTGCCAGTTCCCTTGGCTAGCACAGTTAAATGTGCCAGCATCTGGATATGTTATTATGAGCCCTGTAACAATAATCTAACATCCATCATGGACTTGGAAGATCATGTTCAAATTGACTTTGTTATTGGTAACACTTTAATCTAACTTTTTCACTGGTGCATTATTAACATAGTATCAAGCTAAAAGGGACATGCAAATTTAATTCTGCAGTGAAATCATGTCATCAAAAGTACTAGTGTGCTTTTATCATTTAATTAGGACATGTTAAACAATCAAGTCATACCCAGTGCTTTCTTTAAGGCAAGAGAGACATTTTTGAGACGGCAGGAGGACATTTTTTCAGTCTTTTTACTGAAATATGTTGCAGCATTTCATGTTTTGATAAGAGTTGTTTACACTGCAGCTGCTGGTGCTGTTTGTTAGCTAGTTATTTCTGTCTGTAAAAGGCTGCCTGCTTGCCTGAATGTCTGTATTGCTGTTGGCCCAGCTTTGAGTGTTGTCGCTATGGCAGCAATGCAGAGTTGTGATGGGTTTACTGCAGCTTTGATGAGCCCATGTACTGTAAGGTAGAATAAAGGAAGCCAGCAGAGAAGCCAGCAGAGAAGCACTGAAATGTCTCTGATATATATAACTTCAGGGCTAAACCCCTTCATGTGAATCAGCAGGTTGCACAAACACATATTTCGCTCTGTAGTCTGGTTGCTAGCGCGGTGAACCTGGAAATGTTGACCCCAATACCCCAGTACTCCAAAGTTTTACGATATAAATGTATAGTACGTGTCCCCAGCACATAGAAACTGACGGATGCTAACTTGCATGTGTTGGACAATTGCACAATTCGCATAAATTGCGTTAACATTAATTAGCATTATAGCCTTTTGTAGACAATAATTAAAACATGGCTTGGCGGATTTTGACAATTTTGGATTGGTTTTGGGGGTAATTGAAGATGCAGAATCCATTTCGGACAATTCTAGGATCTAAAATGTCAGTTTTAACCAGAAATTGGACTGATTTTGAGGAATTTTGGATCGATTTTCAAAACTGCCATTGTTGAGTGGGATCCCAATAGGACTCCAGGAGCTGGCGACAGGCTATTAGTCTTGAGGAGTTGTTGCTTTAATCACAGACAAAAAGCTTAAACCTTACTCATATTTACTGCTAGGTCCTTCCAAATGTCATACTCATCATCACACACACATACTCTTACTCTACCTTACACCTGCTTATGTTACACACACAACTACACACTAGTAAAGTCATTAAACTTAATTGCTACTTGTACAACCCATTTGAAAAACATCTTAAACAGCCCACGTTTAAAAATAAATCCCCGATTGCTTGGTCCGGACGAAGGGTCAATTTAGTCATTGTTTTATGGTCATGCATGGAATTTAATGTCCAGTTTCATTTGCCAGCTGGACTTGTGTCCGATCACTAAATTAAGCAAGTGAGCTGTTACCTTAGGCGAGCAGGGAAACCTAATTTCATGCCCTGTCTACGCTCCATTACATATGAAGATATAGTAGTTCACATTATATTATTGGAAGCTATTCTAATCTTTGCAACTGTTAATACTTACTGTCGTTACTGTCGGTTGAACTATTTTTAAAGGCAATGAAATGTATCGTTTAGCACTTCCAAAGTATTTGTAAAGAAGAAACACTTGCCAACCATGGCTAACAGCTGTGGGGTTATGCTTTCTCCAACAAAGAGAAATAGTGCACATGGGAGAGGCACAAACTGATTTTTGAGAGGTTGTAAGCAGCGGGATGTTTCCTAGCTCAGAGGTCACAGCAGGTATCTCTCAGCCACACGCTCTACACACTCTGACATCATGTTGGCTAACACTGTCACGAGCGTACTTGCTTCTTGCTTACAATGCAGCAGACAGACACAAAGACAGCGTCACGGTTTGCAGCACAGCTCACACATGCACACACACACATAGGGACATGCTTGGTTAAGCTGCGTTAGCCAATGTCAGGAAGCATCTTGGAAATTGGCATCAGCATGTGCACAAACATGGATTTCACACACATGTGATGCATGCGTATACAGAGACACTCCAGATGTGCGCAGGCTAGCTCTGTAGCCCGTGTATGAACCAAGGCATTCTCCAGAGAGAACACAAACTCAGAAATGTGGTATTGTGACAACTGTGTGCGTGTTGCATTCTCTAGAGGTCTTTAGGGATTCTCTTGCGCCAGTTGTTATTATTATCACTGTCTCGCTGTATGCGTCTGCACTGGGTGACCCTGCATTCTGCAAGCAAGGCCATTTGTCTGCACGTGTGTGTGTGTGTTTGTCTGAGTGTGTACTGTTTGGGGGGAAGTGAGGCTATGTGAAAAACTGTTCCTGCCATCCTCTCCTCTTCCGCCCATCTCCTCTGCTTCCTTTTGTCCCCTAACACCAAACACATCCCCCCCCCCCCTCTCTCGTGACCACACTAATTGTACTCAGACTGGCAGATTGGCGGACCAATGGCGTGTGTCTACAGTAAAACGTAGAACTTCCTCTCTTCTCATTTTGTTCCCCAGTGTTACTGCTGTGGCACATCTTCAGATGTGAGTTATTTTGAGCTTGGGAGTTGGAGTCAGCTTTTTCTTCTACTCTCATCCTCTTCCCTCTTTTTCTTCAACCCCCAACCCCTTTTATTTGTTTTGCTCTCATGGGCAGCAGGACAAACCCAGCGTAAACACGAGTAGAGATGTCAATGCCACTCAGTGACTCACTGTAACACCTACACACTCACGATAAACGTGTTTGGATGCATTCGTGTGCATTGCTTTAGCCTTGTCTCGAGTGTTTGTGTGTGTGTGTGTGTGTTTCTTGCATCGTAATACATCTGTGTGCTTGTGTGGTTTAAGTAGGGTTAAGGACAGTGCTGATGGAGCACATGGAGAGGTCAACTCACTGT